ATAATGAAGGGGTTAATAAAAACATGAGTTTATTTCATTTAATTCCAGTAACAACATTTTTCAGACAAGGGGACTTAAAGGAACCATCACAATTATTATATTCAATAGTGATAGTAGTTCATTTAATGTAACTATGCTACAATAAAGCAATGTGTTAGATTAAAGCATACTAATATTAAAGTTCTTGAAAACATTTACACGGTAAAAAATATGCCAAAGTATACTTTTAGAAACAACTAGATAAAATTCAGATGTTTTATTTTTTTAATAATCAATTCTTATCAAGTGTGTACTAGCACCAACTAAATACAAGGAAAATAAGTTTTTAAATCATGTGATGGGGAGCTCTTACAGCTCCTATCACAATCCATGCATACATTCACTGTGTCGAGCATATTTGTACATATGTTGCCATCATCATTTTCAAAACATTTTCTACTTGAGCCTTTGGTATCAGCTCTTTTTTTCCCCCTCCACCATCCTCCCTCCCTCATGAACCCTTGAAAATTTATCTTTTTTTTTTCCCATAAGAAGGAAACTGATTTTATCCTCACAACAAAGCAATGACAAAGAAAAATTAGATGTCTTGACCAAGGTCACAGAGCAAGTCAAGTGGCAGCGTCAGGATTCTGTCCCAGACAGATTATAGTAACCACTTTATAGCACATATCATTCATTCCAACCCTAAGTTCCCACTGAGCATATTGATTAAATAGCAATACAAACATCACAAGGATCACGCCAGTATCTTAAAAATACTTACCGTCTTGACAAAAATAAGCTAGTGAGGCTTTTCCTGGTTGCAGTGTACTGAAATATCTCTGAGGACTCAATTCTGGCACAGGGACGACGGTCGCCTTGGTTAAAACGCACATCAAGACAAAAGAGACTCCGATTCTGAACACACTGAAGCTAGAAAACATCATCAGAAGCTCTGTATCTGAGCAAGAAATACTGTCCGTTTCATTCACTGCTCTATACCTAGTATAGAGTGAGTGTTCAAAGGAGTTTAATTGAATGAATTTATGAAAACAATAAATGAAGTAAAATCTGCAAAAGAAAAGAGAAAGTTAAGACATTACTTACATTATTTGGATTTTGCTAGTTCATTAAACTTTCTAGTTAAGAACTGAGGGGCTGATCAGTAATGGCATTGATTTGATACTACTGATAATTGACCTTTGTAAAAGATATGAAAGACACCCAGGAAATGCAATACTATTTCAAACTTTATAGACATTTACTGGAACATACTATACTTATCATTTTGAAGGATTTTTTAATTAACTTCTCAAATATTATCCAATTTTTTAAATGAACATTTTATTTCTCTATCCCAAGCTGACTTACAGTTAAAATTTAAATTACTTAATATCACTGACAGAAGAGTTAAATATCCTATGAGGTGTGGAATATATGCCTGCCTACTAAAGCCTTGGTCTCTGACACCCAAACGGACAGTTCTACTCTGTCCTACAGGATTGCTAAGAATCAGAATCAAGTCGATGGCAGTGGGTTTTTTGTTTTTTCATATAATGGCTCACTAGTTAAGTGTTGTTCCCTGCTAACCAAAAGGTTGGTGGTTCAAATTCACCACCACAGGAGAAGACCTGGTAGTTTGTCTCTGCAAGGATTATAGTTTAGAAATCCTATGAGGTAGTAGTGCTTGTCATATGGGATAACCACGAATTGAAATTACCATATATACTCGTGTATAAGCCGAGTTTTTCAGAACATTTTTAATGCATTTTTTTGTGGTAAAAGTAGGTGCCTCAGTTAGTATTCGGGTTGGTTTATCCTCAAGTATATATGGTACCTCAACAGCACTTAAGAACATAAAACGTTTGCATTCTTACTTTAAATTCCCTAGGAGATAAGAATGCGTGTGAAGATGTTGCAAGACCAACCAATCTTTCC